CACTGCAGCAAGAGAGAAAAACAGCCAAATGGAAACAAGGATTGACCTTACCTTTTCTACATGGCTAGATGTCTAGTGGTAACATTGTCCTCATGTCACTTTACTATATGCTCCCTTATTTGAGGCACCGCAGAGAGGAGAGGCTTTGATGCATACAACCTGCACGAGACGATGTCCACCCTTCAGGGCTCTTCACCATTTGGAGAGCAAGTCTTCCCTGCAAAAGGATCAGTGGAGATATAGAAATATATGTATATTGATGTTGTTTATATATAAACATATGTAGATATATGATGGTGTACATGCAAACACACAAAGGTGTCTCCTCACTGTGGGAGCCTTCTTTAATAGCGCAGAAATCTTTGGCATAGCTTTTAATGCAAGTGCATCAATTGCTTTCAGTATGAACCCTTGTGCAYCCCAACAGGAAAAAAAGGACTTGCCATGACTTTGTCATGGGACCTGCTTTATCTGTGAGCCTTGCCCCTCACTGTCCTGCCCTTGCATCTCACTCAGATGAGGACAACCACGCTCACAAGTCAGTTCTGCTCTCCCTGCAGAAACCTCCCAGGAGCAAGGGACTGTCCAGGGGCTTCCCCATGTGTGCAAGTGCTAAGAAGCAGGTCAGATAAACCCTGATGCAGCAGCTAAGGAGAAACTGGTGCTGTCTATGGAATAAGGGATGGGACAGGGGACATTCAGAAGCCTCTGGCAGATTCGCAGGCTGCTCTTTGAATCTGTTAATGAGTCTTTTAGTCTGTTGCCCAAAGCTGACAGTTCCATTTCCATTTTCCTTTGAATCCCTCCTCTTGGGAAATGGTCCCCTGAGTAGACTAAAATAATCACCTATTTTCATTTTCTAAAAAGTTCAGAGAGTTTCACGCTGATTCTAACATTGCAATTTCTTTCATCAGGGGATATTAACAAAAGTTAAAAATGTCCCATTCTGGAAGACCGGTTCACACTTCTTAACTAGGCAGGCCATCTGGAAGAGGGACTTAAACGGAATCCATTTACTCATAGTTCAGGTGTTGAGCCATGGTTGGTTCATATAAGCATCTCATGCAGGGTTAGAAGGCACAGGTCTGGAGAGGGATTCCTGTCTGTGCTGTAAAAATCACAAATGTACACAAGGTGGGACTGACCTTCCCAAAATGGAAGTGAGCACAATAGAGAGGTCTGAGAATCTGGTGCTGACTATGGACTAAGGGATGGGAGAGGGGACATTCACAAGTCCCTGGCAGATTCATTGGCTGCTCCTTCACTCTTTTAGGGAGTCTCAGTCTGTTGTCCAAAGCTGACAGTTCAGTGTCCATTTTCCTCTTACCAAGTGGAAGGAAATTCTAAGCACTTCCTCTCTGGCTTCTCTTTGAGGCAATTCAGGGAAAGGGAAGAAAGGGAATTTCTTGCCTTTCCCTTTGAAAA